TTTGCTGGACGATTAACCCTTCAGCTGAGGACCAACTGATCTCTATTCTCTGAAACAATTTGCTTCAAATGGAGAGGTGAAGAAAGTGACCTACCCATACATATCTTGACAATAGAATAGTATAGAGATATATTAAAAGAGGAAATTACAGGACCCGTACCATTTACATAGATTCTAACATTAAATCTGTAAACTCAGCAGTATATACACATAAACAGATCATGACAAGATGATCATAAATAGATTCCATGACCTTATGGAATATAAGGAAGATTAAAGATGTGAAATGTATTCAAGTACTATACTACCTTAAAATTTTAACAGAGAAAAAGTACTCAAATACGTTACATAAATTTAACAATTGTGGTTGGGGCAGGGTGTGGAAAGACAACTTATAGATGGAAGGGAACTGCCTTAAGTGGATAAAATATATCTTCCAAAAACCTATGGCAAAAATTATGCTGAAACTCTAAAATTACGGTGAAACTCTAAGGAAAGTTGGGTCTCTTCCAGTATCATTTCTTTCAAACTCTAATCTTCTGCTTGCACAGAAAATACAAAGAGGCCCATTTTAATTTATAATTTCATATTACACTGGTTAAGACTTTTCTAAACTGTAGAGCAGAAGTGATAAGTGCATTCCCACAAGACCTATTTCTTGTACTGATGTGTAGAAAATCCACTGGTTTTTATTTTTTATTTTTATTTTTTAATTAGGCTTCATGCCTGGTATGGGGTTCAACTTGGGACTTGAACTCATGAACCTGAGATCAAGACCTGAGCTGAGATCAAGAGTCAGATGTTTAAATGACTGAGCCACCCAGGTGCCCCTGCACTGATTTTTAAAATGTTGAATTTGGGGCACCTGGATGGCTCAATCGGTTAAGCGTCCGACTTCAGCTCAGGTCATGATCTCACGGTTTGTGGGTTCGAGCCCTGCATCAGGCTCTGTGCTGACAGCTCAGAGCCTGGGTCCTACTTTAGATTTTGTGTCTCCCTCTCTCTCTGACCCTCCCCTGCTTGCGCGCTCTCTCTCTCTCTCTCTCAGAAATAAATAAAAACATTAAAAAATTTAAAAAAAGATAAAATATTGAATTTGCAGTTGGCAATTTTGCTATCTTACTGCAAGTGATATGATGGTCTAAAATTCTCTTTCTTCCTGCTTCATCGCTTAATTGATTATGCAACCTATAGTTTTTTTTTATTGTTGCCATGAATGAAATCTTTTCCCCTAAAGATTGTGTGGTCCAACACAACTTTATTTCTATTACATTGTCAAATCAATTACCAGACTGAATGGTAATAACATGTTCCCACTGATGCAAATTTTCTTCAAATGCATCTGTAAATTCAGTGCTCTTCCAATCAAAATCTCAACAGGGATTTTCTTTTTTAAAAATTTTCTTTTGTAATTATTTAGTTTTGAGAGAGAGAGAGAAAGAGAGAGACAGGGGAAGGAGCAGAGAGAGAAGGAGCAGAGAGAGAAGGAGACACAGGATCTAGCAGGCTCCCGGCTCTGAGCTGTCAGCACAGAGCCTGATGTGGGGCTCAAACTCACAAGCCATGAGATCATGACCTGAACTGAAGTCAGACACTTAAATTAGTGAGCCACCCAGTCACCCTGGGCTGATTTTCAAGTGCATATGGAAGAGTAAAGAATAGCCAAGACCGTTATATAGCTTTATAATATCTGCCAAGGAACATCTCTTCACTGTGTATGTACCTTGTCAGTGGTAAACTATCTTATTAGAATTAACTTTGAAGAAGAATGGCAATAAACAGTGTAATGCAGCAACACAGAAACTCAGCCACGGATCCACACAAATATGGAACCTGGATATATGGAGGTAGAGTTCCACACTAAGATCAAAGCATAGACTCTCTGATAATGGGTGTTAGGACGTCTGAGTGAGTAATTCACCTGGTTCTGACATATCAAAAGATTTGGACCCAGAGCCTTTCGGAAAAGAGTTTGACAAAGCCTGTATCTGACAGTTTGTATTTTGTCATAATCTTCACTGTTGTATGGAGGTTTATTTTTTAATATTAAACTTCTTAAAAAAAACCCTTTTGTGACTTCAAGGTAGAGAAGGATCTCTAAAATAAAGCACAGAAACACCAAACCCAAAGGAAAAAGTTTTTTCTTTGTGGGGATTTTTAACAGTATCTACATTTTCTTTTAAAAGCTTAAAATAAAGAATTCAATGGTAAAACGGATGAGCACTACCAGCAGGACACACACAGAAAAACTATAATGTCCAATAAGCACTATCTCACTAGGAATCAGGGCAATGCAGATGAAAACAGTACATCGCTTCTTCAAGTTTAGATATTGCCAAATAGCACGTTGTGAAGTCCCTATTTCTCCACAGCCTCACCACCTCTTAGCAGACTGTTACCATTTCACAACTGTCAGATGGACAAGTTGGTTTCCATACCGGGCAATTGCCATTCATGCTCCTCCAGCACTCAGCCTGCGATCCGTGGGTGTTAGAGGTCAGTGCTGGTCCACACGCTGACTGCACTGTCCCTTTGGGAGGCGGTGTGCCACTTTTGGGGCAGTGGGGCGTGAGTGTGAGTTCTGTGTGTTGTTTTCCGTCCTGTGCGGGATCGATGAGGAAGCTCAAGCGGTTCAGATGGTGCAGCTATGGGATGGGACCCTCCATGAGACAGGCCCCTCACACTGCGGATGCAGTGTGAATGAGAAATAAACATTTGTTTGGCCCACCAACAAGGGTTGTGAAATCAATGTTAAATATAACCTCAAAAAGTCACATGTGCAACAATTTTTCTAAGGTATCCATCTGGTGATAGAACTGTGGGCCATTAATGCAGAATCTGGCACAGAACCGACATTTCCTTAATGTGAGTTAGTGCAACCTAGCCTGGCCTACCCTAGTTTTAGAGGCCTGTAGATAAATGAAATCCAGTTCTTCCTATCAAGGAGCTCAGATAAGTAAGCTGTTACAACACAGTATGTTTTACCTTGTCGTAGGCTGTTGAGTGTGGTAAACACTAGCCACATATGGGTAATGGACATTTGAGATGTGCCTCGGGAGACTGAAGAACTGAATTTCTAATTTAAATGGAAAAACTGAAGCAGTTAAAATCTTGCTGCTAAACACAGTTTTGGTAAGTTTTGGTAAGACTACATCCCATTATAAATGAAAATGTAGCATTAACATCCAAACCTTCTGGACGTTTAAAATATGTCCCAGGTTTATGTCCCAAAGTCTAAAGACTTTGTTTTCAAAAGTGTATGTAATTATACACTTTGTACGTGTGTACGTGTATTTATACACACAAAATTCTCAGTAAATTTTATGTTCATGGAAAATGTTTCAGTAAATTCTTTTTAACATTTATTTACTTTTAAGAGACAGAAACAGAGAACAAACAGGGGAGGGGCAGAGAGAGGGGGAGACATGGAATTCTGTAGGAGGCTCCAGGTTCTGAGCTGTCATCACAGAGCCCAATGTGGGGCTCGAACTCACAAGCCGTGATATCATGACCTGAGCTAAAGTCGGATGTCTAACCGACGAAGCCACCCAGGCAACCCAGAATGGTTCGGTATTTTAGATGTCGGTCAAATAAAACATTTAACTTCACCTGCTCTTTTCACTCTCCCAGATGTGGCTGCTGAAAAGTTCAGATTACCTACTGGCTCACATTATATTCCTGTTGGACAGCACCGAGGACCACATTCCTCAGAATGGTAGCCCAGTGCAACCGGTATGTCTGATATGTGCTAAAGCCTTAAGAAGTCAATTCATACCGAATGTAACCTGTGGCAGCAAAGAACTCTACGTGTTGCAAAAGAGCTTGATGGACTCCAGGGTGTTTCCTGCCACAACACCATCTTGCACGTTACTTCACTCACCTTCACATCAACATTCATCTTTCTCGAGCTGAAGTTCTCTCCACAGTAAAATGTGGCTTGGTGACTGACACTCCCTAACTTTCTGGCCTTGACATCACTTCCACCCGGCCCCCTACCCCATTCACAGCGCAGCCACCCCTGGTAGTCGACACCCAATACAAACCACCCCGCAGGCTTCCGTTGCCTTGCTTGATTTCCACTTCCCCCTAGATAACCAAAGGTGACCACTTATTAGACTAGATCTGCAGGGTTGGAGGATGATGACTTATCTCAGCTAACGAATGAAATCAGCAAATTCTGGAATTTAAGCAACTCACATCTCTTTATGGTTTCTTCGGGGTCTGCCCATAGTCCTCTCAAGTCCATTTCTTTCCCAAAATGACTCCTTGGAATGAGATGCGGGAATCAAGTTCCCCTCCAAATAGCCTCATCCCTTTTCCTCCCAGCTATGCATGGAATCAGATGCAAGGGTGTTTGGATGGACTGTGTCAACAGTGCAGTGCCCACGTGGTCCAGCACGCTCATCACCTGCTCAGGAGCTCCCCCTGCCCTAACCTCCCCCCACAGACCACGCACATAGGGCAGGTTCAGTAGCCACATACCATCTCTGATGAGGCCATGGGCCATGGGCCAAAAACTGTCACTGCTGCCCAAACCAGCATCTCTTGTGAATTTAAGGCAGCACCAAACAACAATGTAAGCTGGTGTTCATTTCAGGGTGTGCAGGATTAACCAGCAGTGTATTGAATTCAAAATATACGTGGTAGACTGGGAAGCCTGGGTGGCTCAGTCAGTTAAGCATCTGACTTCAGCTCAGGTCGTGATCTCACAGTTTGTGGGTTTGAGCCCCGCATCAGGCAATGTGCTGACAGCTCAGAGCCTGGAGCCTGCTTCAGATTCTCAGTCTCCCTCTCTCTCTGCCCCTCCCCTGCTTGCACGCTGTCACTCTCTCTCTCTCAAAAATAAACATTAAAAAAAATTTTTTTTTAAAAATACACCTGGTAGAACTCAATGCACCTGTGCTTTGAGGATGATGTCTTTCCATGTTTCAGAAACCTACCACACGAGAGGCAATATAACCCGCCCCCCCCACACTTACCAGTGAAATGAAAGTGCAGAGAACATTTTACAGTTGCTTTATTTAACAAAAGTTACGCCAACATCTCTATCTATATACAAATGTGTTTCAAAACCAGAGCAGCAGACGCAAAACTGTTAACACAGGACTTACAATAATGCTTAAAACATGTTATGCAATATTTTGTTTTCTGCTCATACTGACATTTACACATTCAAAAATTATCCCAAAGGCCGAGCCACATCACATCCTCATTTTCTGGGATGGTTTATTTAGTAGGTCATGAAGAAAAAGGGATGGGGCTTTTCAGGGCTAATATACTGTGTTCAGTTTAGTTTAACAAATAGCATTTGGCCCATAGTAGGGCTCACAAAATGTTTTGGGCTGGGGATAACAATTGGGGTAAAATATGACCCACCCATGAGACTGTGAGGTCATTTTTTTAAAGAAATTTTTCACTCTTTGTCATAGCATAAATATAAGACCATCTGATTTCTGACCCCCAAAATTTAATAAACTCTACCTTAAGAAATGTTTAAAATGATTTTCTTGGTAAATACTATTAATAAAATTTAGTGAGTATAGGTCCTTCAAAATCAAGGTAGGAGTCCATAAATACTCAGCACATTTCTACCCCTACCTTGTCCAATTTTGTTAGAAATGTTTATCTAATGACATTTATCTACATGTTAACAAGCTATTTGCTAAAGTTCTTTATATACGGAGGACAGACGTTTTGCTTTCTCATTTTTTTATGACTTTCAGGAGCCCTCTCAATTTCTTAAAAAGTACTGTAGTTCTGGAAATCCCCCAAAAACTTAGCTACATGGTCTACTCATAAAATTTAGCTCCATACAAGTACATAGCTGAATTTTAGGTAATACTTGAAAAACGGTTGATGCTGCAAAGTATAAATATTTCATGTTGACACTTAACACTGACCTGATTCATGGTCATCTTTCCTGACAGGTCATAGTCAAGCCTCTCAAGAGAGATGGTACTAAGCAGTGAGGTATAGAAGGAGAAAAACAAACAAACAAAAATCACAGCCTTTTTCTTCTTCTCTCAACTTCTTAGGAGCCTTCTAACTCCTGGCAGGGTACACATCTACACATGCTACATTGCAGAATCCTCTCCTCTAGGTGGTAAAGTGAGTGGTTACACAGGATCCATTTCCCAAAAAGCACCAACTGGAAATGCATGGGGGAGGAAATACTGAAATGAAATGATTCTCAGTGGTTTCCACTCCTGTTTGTTCATATAAATCAGACTCATCACTTGTGCTTTCATCTGCTAAAAATGAGATCACACCATTATAAAAATGTGCTTCCAAAATAATTTCTAGAATATAAAACATCTTATATTTTTCCAGCCCACATAATTTCGTTATAAAATAGGAAATCAGAAAATTAGCTACTGCAGTTTTTTATGGTAAAAAATATTTATATGTGTACACACACGCATATATACACATATAAAAAAAAACCAAGTTTTAAATTTCAATAAAAATTAACCAATTAGTCAACTTAATGATTATGTATTCAATTATACATAAGAAATGTTGATTATCTGTAATGAGAACTACAAAGAATTACCATCCCATCTATCAGAACATAATCTTTCACACATGTAAAAAAAAAAAAGTTCCAACTAACCAACACGATGGAAATCTCACTCAGGTCTTTTTTAGACAGAACGGCCCCCCATTTCATTCACTGCACTAACCAATTCCCTATGGAAGGAGCAGTCTTAAAGGGAGGAAAACATGGAGGTGGGGCTGTCTTGTGGCTGTCCCATCCGTGTTCTGTGTGGTGGCTGGTGCCTGGCTGAGTGGGTTAAGTGAGGAGTATGTCCAGTCCGAGCTCCCTCTGCCAGACCATCTATATGGGAGGACTTCCTAACGCACCCGAAGGTGCCGTGTGGACCAGCCGTGGTCCTGGCATCTGTCGGTGGAGAGGGCTGCAGACATTCTTGAGAGTTACTACCTCAGAAAGGTGAGTGAGAGGGATGTGGCGTGACTGTTGATGAAAACCAGGCATCCTTTTCCTATAACCTCGACAAAGATGGCGGGATGCTTCCCTTTTGGTGATTCCTGCCTGTTTTTAGTATTTTCATGAGGGAAAGCCTCAAGGGGCCTCAAAGGCACAAAAGGAAGGGGACAGGAGACGAGTAGGGAAGCATCCTACTTCATAGGAAGGTCTGTTCAGGAAGTTGGCAAAGCGAGAGCAGGATATGAGCTGGGGCCCGCGGGGGGGGGGGGGGGGGGGCAGTGTCTGTGACCCGTAAGAGATGGAGGAAGTGTGTGCAGCCTTCACCCGTGGTCTGTGAATTCTCAGATGAAAACTGATAGTCACGTTAAAGTCATAACTGTCTTCACCACCCTACCTTGAATTGTCTTCCCCAGTGTCACCAGACGCCTGTTCATTCACATCGTAAATCAGTTTATGGTTGTGACGGTGGTTAAGGGCAAACAGGAGCCTTAGTTCTAGATCTTTCCTCTGTGACCATTCCTTTTTTTTTTTTTTTTGAAAAAGGCACATTCCCTCAACTGTCATAAATCAGGATATTTAAAAAGAAAGCAAAGGTTTGGAAATGTTTCTTTCCTCCCCTAACATCTACAGTAGCAAATTCAGGCAAACCCTGGAGTCATTCTTTAAAATGGCCAACAGCACAGTGCTCTGTGCTGTAAATGACACAAGTACTGCACAGTGGGTGAGGAATCGAAAAGAATAGCCAGTTTTCTACAACCAAATTTAAGATAACAAAGTAGAGAGTTTAATTTCCATTATGCACCGAACAGTCTGCACATGACTTAATGAGATGGCTGTGCATACCAACATCTGGGTTTAATCCCTCAGTGGCATTCTGTTATGTAAAGAGCATGTGTAAAACACTCTAAACTCGCCCTTCTGAATAGATTACAACAAATTTGTATGTACTCAGAAAAGGGGTGCTAAACAAAGCAGTCTCAGATCCCACTGGAAATCTGCAAGTTTCACTCCTCTCCAGGAAAATGCATGTATGTGGATTTGTGCGTAATTTCGGGGGCCTCAAATACCTTCCAAGGTCCAGTCACTTATCTCAGGTCAAGACTCCTGGCTCTCAACATTCCTACAAGGGTTCTGAAGAACTGAGGACTCTCCATCCCTACAATCTCTTTTTCTCCTACTGAGTCAGGGAGGGGAAAAAAACAAAAACAAAAACCAAACTAAAAGTAAGAAAAACAATTTGCTTCAAAGACTTGCTTTTTTTTTTTTTTTTTTACTTATTTCCCTTGGAGGAAAGAACATCCCAATCTCTAGTAGCTTCTATCAAATGCCGTTGGCCGTGACTCATCCACTCCTCCTGGTCTTCATACAGCCGCCCACAAAACCAGCACTTAAATATACACTGTGATGAGTCATCAGGCAAGGAATCCACCACCTGGTAGTTGTTTTTATGAACCTTTTTAAGTTTCATTTTCAACATCATTTGCCTTTTTATTTGATTGGCTTCCTCCGCATTCTGGTAGGTCAGGCGGACATGATGCCGTCTGATGCCTAACTGACACCTAGTTCTTTCTGATAAGACGACTTTGAGGACGTTGCCTTTGTACTTGTTTATTACCTTCATCACATTGGTCACTTCTGGTGAGTCAACGTCAGGATGGTTTAACACAATGACGGGCTGGTTCCGACGGGGGCATTTAATCAACTGGTCTGGTTTAGCCGCTATCAGCCGAAGTTGTCTTGCGACCTGAAAAATTGAAGGATCCTTGAGATAGCGGCTGGGATCTGCCTGGATTTTGGTTTTCTTCTTGGATGAGCTCACTTGTTTGGTTTTATTTTTACTTATAGGAAGACTTCTGGGGAGCAGTTTCCCTTGCTTACTTGGTTCACTGCTTCCTTGCTGACTATGTAGAGGGCCGGTTTTTTTAGGCATGGTGCTACAAGTAGCACTCTCTTTCCTTGGTTTTGGCCGAAGAGGTATATCAAGATTTTGGGACACATCTACTGGCCCACTTTTACTTGTCAAAGATTGTAAGTCTGAGTCTGTCTGTCTCACTGGGCAGAGCGGAACGGGTTTTATTAACTGTGTCTCACTGCAAGGTATGTTGACGGGTGCTTCACACGTAGCCTCTATAATGTGGGCATCCTCAGAAGAATTAAGAACCCTCAACACAGCTCCTTTGGGGATCAATACTGGAGTAGCAACATGCGCCTTCCTGGTCGTCCTGCTTTCAGTTTTCCCACTGCTGTCTTCTATAAACTGTGGATACATTTGCTGAGGAGTAAGCTGTCCATTAATACCACTGTCATCCTGAGGTTTGGGGAGTGAGCCTGTGGAGTAGCCAGGGCCAGTAAATGACACATTAATTTCATGAATACCCTCAGGGGCAGCTTTTGAGGTTCCCTTTGATGCCTGTCCTACAGAACGGCGATGTGCATTATTTGCAGACAAAGACGAAGGCTTGCCACAGGATTCAATTAATTGAGCTATCTTTCTGCGCAAGAGTTCAATTGACTTTATTTTGGATGTGGAACTATTCCATTTAACGCCCTCAGGAACGTTTTCGGACCCAGAGCTCAGAGAAAATACTGATGAGATGACTGGGCCATCAAAAGAGTCTTTGGTCCTCTCAGGGTTCTTTAGTTCCAGAGGCTCCTCCCTGGGCGGCTGAGACCTGATGCTATCTTCTCCGGGTATACTTATGTGTAAATACTCACTTTTGCATTGAGAGGAAATCTGGCCTGTATTTGAACCTGCCTTATGTTCCTCCATCTGCCTGTCCTTCAGCTTCCTATGGGAGGGAGCCATTTTTACAGGAATACTGATCTCATTTCTAGATTCCAAGAGATTTGTACTCACAGGCAGTAAGCCTTTGTCCCCAGAGGACACAGTTGCAGGTGGTGCGGCAAGAGGGAAGAATGGCTGTGAGTCACCGTGTAAATGTCTTCCATCCTCAGTAAAAGAAACAGCAGCTTTATATGGAAAAGGGTTTGATGCAGTTCGGAGACCATGTAAAACACTGTTTTTTATGACAGATGATGGAGAATGACCTTTTAAGGAGAGAGATGGAAGAGCCGACCTATGTGGGTACGTACTACTTCTTTTCTGGAAATCCTCAACTGTATCTGGGCTGAGGAGGGATTGTCCACGGTTGTGCACACTAGAATTTGACATGAAAAAGTCATAAGACCTCACCCACTTCACATTTTTAAGTTGTCTCTGAACTGCAGGATGAAGATTATCAAAGCCTGCGAGTTTCCCGACATTCCCTTCCATTGGCAGTGACTTTGTATGTCCTGCAGAAAACATTTTTTCCTGTTCGGTTGAACCCTTCTCTTTAGTCACACGCTCAGACCTCCCTCCTTCAGCCCCACTAGTTTCAGGGCGGTTACTTTCTTCCAGAGGAAACAGTTTCAGGACAAGCTGCTGGGTCCCATTGACGACCTTCACATCCATCAACTGGGCTAAACAGTTTGCAGGCACGACTAGCTCCGCCGGTGCCACAACCGTTAAGGGCATCCCTGGCTGGACAGGCTCTTTTGCAGGGGACAGCACTTCCACCTCCACGCTTTTGTTCTCAAACAGACTGCCCTCGTTCGGCTCCGACAAGGCCACTTTATTTGGAATGCACACGACGTCTTTCTGGTATTCCTCAGATTCAGGCAGCAACATGATGTTGTGCATTTTGTCTTTATTTGTGTGGAGGGAGAACCTTGAGAGCTGGTCTGACAACTTATTTTGAAATGCAGTCCTTGGATTGGGAGCTTTTAAAAGCTCTGTGTTTTGTTTGGATGTGCTGGTTCTTTTCGGCTCCAGCTTGGCAACGGTTTTGGGCGGCCGCTTTCCACCAGCCCGCTCGTGCACTCTCCTCCTGTGTTTGACAATATAGTCGTTTCTAATAGCACCATAGTCGCAGTACTCACACTGGTAAGGGAATATGCCTGTGTGTTTCACCAAGTGCCTCTGAAACTCTCCTTTTGTGTAGGAAATGTAGCTGCAGTGAGAACAGATGAATTTAATCTCTTCATGTTGAAGTGTGTGCTTTTTGTACTGCAGAGGGTCCTTTGTGGAAAATCGACATTTATCACAATAGTATTTGCCTGGCTTAAAGTTCCTTACCTTAAATTTGTTACTGACGGGACTTGAGATGGTCTCCGCTTTATTTCCTACGTGAGTTGCACTCGGATTACTGTTCACAAAATGAAAATGGGAAGTAGCCATGCCAAGGCTGCATTTGAAGCAAACATATTTGTCTTCCTTTTGGCTTGGCCCGGTACCCTTCTTCAGATCTTGAAGCGGGATTTTGTGAACACTTTTGCACTTTATACACGTAGCAACGGTCATCACAGCAGCCTCGGCCTCTGAGCCTTGACACAAAAGAGCTTGCGCTTCTTGTCTGTCTGGTCGAGTCACCCTATTAGCATTAGGTTGTTTGGGTGACATGGTCAAGGAATTATGTCCATCATTCACTTGTGTAGGATATAACTGCTGTCCAATATCCTTCATCTTCTTTATCTGCATTTCTGAAAAGAGAAATCCAGAAAATCCAGAAAACTTCACATGATAAAATCCTTAGGGGTCATCCTTCATTTCACTCTGTGACTGGCAGAGAAGCAGTTACTTCTTGGACGTATACTGCATCATCTTTTTTGATACACCACCACAGTAGGTGTATGATCCCAAAATATGGTTGTTTCCAATGCTCTGATATTCTGGGCACCACTACAGGGAAAAAAAGGAAATCACAGAGCATGATTAATACATGAACTTAAGGTTTAGTTAAGCTCTTTCCAAACTTATCCTTCGGAATTTTATGTTAAATCTTGACATTTTTTCTTACTCACAGGTTGACAGTAAAACGTAAGCCAACAGAACTGGCAAATAACAAGCCTAAACTGGAAACATTTTTAAATTCAGCCCCCTGAAACTCATCACTTTAAACCAACCATAAACAGGCCAGGAGCAAAGAAATCACAGTTGTCACTCAGAACAGGCCTTGATACATGGACGTTATTTTTAGGTGTCATGGAGAGCATCCCAGCAATTTCACAGGCATAATTTCATATTTGTCTAAATGAAACCTTGTACAGGAGGATGCTAATTTAGTTTAAAAAAATTTTTTTAAAGTATGTTTATTTTGAGAGAGAGACAGAGCAAGTGGAGAAGGGGCAGAGAGGGAGAGAGAAAGAGTCCCAAGAGGGCTCTGCACTGTCAGCCAGGGCCCGAGGCAGGGATGGAACTCACACACCGTGGGATCACAATCTGAGACGAAACCAAGAGTCAGACGCTTAGCCGACTAAGCCACCCAGGCACCCCAATTTCAGTTTTTAAACACATCGATTATCAAGTGGTAGAGAGAGCCTTGACTTCGGTTCAGGTGTCCATTTGTTTCTGCACAACAGCTAATTGTCAGCTTAGATTCTCAGCTCTCTTTCACATGCTCCGTTTGTGTTCACAAATGGTAAGAAGTCAATAATACACTGGCAATATTAGGTATACAAATACTGATTCCTTTGACATCTCACTGAGCATCTATTATGTGCCAGGCACTGTCGTAAGTGCTGTAGGGCAGTTAGTATGCTCATGAAGGTATAAAGAGGGGAAACAGGTGATATATTTATTTCTTAAGTGGTCGTAAGTAATTGAGAAAAATATACCGTAAAGCGAGGCCACAGGGACTAAGTATGTGATGAGGTTGTAGGGCTAGCATGTGGAGGCATGGACAGTTAGGAAACCCTCCCGTTCAGCTGACATCTGAGCACCAACCCCAGGGCAGCCAGGGAGAGAGTACTGTGGCTGTCTGGGAGAAGGGAGCTTCAGGCAGAGAGTGAGCAAAGGGTTGTGCCTGGAGCACCTGAGGAATGGCTAGGAGGCTGAGAATGGAGGGATTTAATGAGCAAGGAGGGAGGAAGAGGAAAGAATGGTCAATATGGTCAGAGGCAGTGGGGGTAGAGGGGGCACTAGTCAAAGTAAGATCTGGCACACAGTACTCTAAGGATGTGGCTTTTCCTCTACATGAACCAGATAACCAGGGGGAGACTGGAGCAGTGACGTGGCCCAATCTGATCTGTATGCCAACAGAGGCCCTGACTGCTGTGGGACCAGTGTCCGTGAGGGTGGAATGACAGTAGCAGAGGACTGAGGTGCGAGGTGGTGGCAGCCTGGACTGCAGAGGCAGACGCACAAATGTCCCTACAGCCAGTACCACAATCTGTGTAACATGACAAATTATTATATAAAAATACTTAATCACCTTTAAGTGCACGTTCTCTTTTCAGAATATACAGAACTAGGAGCCAAACAGAAAAACACTCCAGTTGGAGATCTGCTAAAAGCCCTTCTTTATGACCTTATAAACACCAGTTAAGCCTTCTGAGCCTCAATTTTTTCATCTGGCAATTAGAACGAAGGACACTTATCCAACTTCTCCCCAGGGCTGCCCAATAATAAAACCACTCAAGAACATACGAGAACACCTCTTTAGTTTTCAAGTACTTCTCCCAAGGGTCAAGGGGCACAGAGGTACCCAGGAAGTGTCTGCTCAAGACTGAGCAGCAGTATGAGGGAGAATTAGCAGCTTCCTTCTGGCACACTGTTCCCAGGCTGAGAGCCCTACAAAGGAAATCTGACTACATGTAGGGTCAAGGGAAGTAATTACTGCATATTCAGATCCAGCGTATAACCTGCCCTTTAAAAGCATTTTTGGAAAGAACTGTAGGAACATACCATGTTTGATAACAGGCTTTATTTTCCTTTTGCAAAAGAGAGCTGCCTCCTGTTCAAAGGAGTATGCACCCAGAACTCCATCAGACGTGCCCCAGCCTGAATGTGTATGTAACATTTAGCAAGTGGGCAGAGGCCAACAGGGCCACAAGGCACGACTTCTGCCCTCGGAGGTCAAACACACACCCATGCAAGGGGACTGCGCAGAGGGAAGGACACGTGAATGCCTCCAGCTGGCAAACTAGTAAGCGCAGGCAAGGACAAGGACGCCCATCTCCCGCCACAATCCTGGTATACACGACAGGTAGAGGTTTCAGGAGTCACCAGCAAAAGCTGACACAAACTTCATTTTCCAGAAACGTAAACTGGGTTTGCTGAAAAGAGACCTCAGTGACACTACCAGTATCAGAACTTCTAGAAGCAGAACTTCTGCTGCTACTCAAATGACCTCAGGCGAGCCACCCGTTCTCATCAGCTTATTCATCTGCGTTCATCTATGATTCCCAAGCCTGGTCTCTTGCTGCTGAGCCCGGATATCACAAATCACAGGCTTCTTACCGTCCACGAATAAACACATCCATGTCGGCATTTTCATCCTGTTAAAACAGAGGAAGCAATGGCTACGACCAGAGCCTAAGAAAACCTTGGCTCACAGAAGGATGAGCAGGGGCTCTAGGGAGGAGCCTCAGGGTCACAGCTGGGGCAGAGCCTCCTGGACTCCACCCCTACGCTGGGGAGTCTCCTTCTTGAGAAGGGGGAGAGACATTTGTGGTTTATAAGAGCACTCAGTGCTATTTTGGTGACAAGCTGTAGTGAAAGTGCTGAGACTTTCAGCCACTTTTTAATCCTTAAAATTGACTTTGCTAGCTGACCATGCACTTGATGCTCTAACATTCCGTAAACAGAACAAATTCCCTCTTCAGGCAGCTAGTTTTATTTTCACACACTTCTCATGGTTGAAAATTTGCTTTTTAATGAAACTGAAAGGAGTCCTTGCAACTTTCTTCTATCCTGACTCTGGAGCTATAAACACCTTAATCCTTCTCAACAGACCCATTATTAACCTGCACACCTCATCTCTCATTCAGTCCTCGGCTGGCAATTCTGTTGCAAAGATTTGCATAGCAGCCAGTACTACATCCATCTACCAGCCCCATAATCCTGCCAACGAGAGAATGGAAGGAAGGGAGGAAGGAGGGCAGAGGGAAGGAAAGAAGAAAGTGACTTACTACCCTGGCACGATGTGCTTCCACTATTTCCACACCTTCCACACTGATCCTAAGAAACTCTCAAGAATCTTGTGATGAGATTCCCCTATTTGAAGACTCCAGGCTTCTTCCTTCAAATTTATAGAGAGCAATTTTGGCATTTTCTTTCCAAGTCCTCTTAAAACGTGGAGGTATCATTCCTCCTGACACCAAAGATGTGCAATCTCAGACAGACTGGACAGAAGGGTCACCTACTTAGAAAGAAGCGGAGAACATCCCGAGGGAGGAAAGTCCCTGGGAATTAACAAGCCAGCTACAGTGGCTAAGGAGCGCGGGCCTCTCGGAGGGGTTTCCACAAAAGCACCTCAGCAGTTGTTCGGAATTAAGAATCCATAGAAGCAAGTGCCCGGGAGAGCAAGGCTGTGACTGCAAATATGGTTTAACTGGAGATGGGAGATTTAGGCCGTGTCCTGTTTGCAAGTATCATCCTGGGCTCTGAACCATTCTCAAAATAACGCGTTGTTTCTACACTGGCAATTCCCTCCGTCCAGATGATGCCAGGCTTCTTCCAAACAAGTACCGTTCTCTTTGGCCTTTGCAGCTCATGTGGCTAATCACTGGGGTAAAAGATCTCTGTGCACCCCAAGGCAGAGGGGAATAGATGCACTGGGAGGCAAGAAGATGGCTTTGCTGCTGCCACCGCATGTGGGCGCACCCGAGTGACAGGCTCCCACACCCACTCCCTCCGTGCAGCTTGCTGTCTGGTTCCCGTAAGGCACAAGCACCCGGGAAGCTGGGTCGTCCTGGCAGATCACTGCCCGGGGCTGATGACCAAGGCTCACATGGAGGGTGAGAGGCTGTGTGAGCACGTGACCCTGAGAGCCCCTGCAGGAGCTGCTGTCTGCATCAGCTTTGGCGCTGCCCTACCTTTCACACTCACGATGCCTCGATTACCAAACCTCTGCATTTGACCTACTAGGACAAGAAACATTTTTTTTTTTAAATAACTTCAGAGGCTTCTCTAAAACTGTTTTTAACAGTGTAAGTGAGCTTCTTAATGCATAATTATCGGCAGCATCAGCCAAAGGTGACGGGCGCACAGCAGAGAGAAGCGGTACCGAGGGTTACAAACGTGCTTCCCGGAGACTTAGCCTTGCCCCTTCCTGGGGAAAGGCCTCAGGGCAGCATTTGCTGCTGGTGGCCTTTCCTTGTGACTCTGGCTCACCTGCCTTGGTTTCTTAAAGACTTATTATGGGGGCATATGGAGAAAAAGACAGAGTGTGTCAAGACACCAACTCAGTGACACTGGGGCCTATAAAAACCAAGCTCTCCTTAAAATGGAAGCATCAAATACCGGGAACACCAAATGCTCAACAGAATTAGAAGAGAAATAAGTAGTAATACTACTTAAAGCTACAGATTCTGGAATCATCTCACAAGGACTTAAATCCCAATGTCATCATCCCCTTGTAGGTGTGTGACTGGGGGAAAACTGAATCCTCTGTTAGTAAGAGCACCTATTTCACCACCTGGTCATGAGGATTACATGAGGTAATGTGACACACAGCCTAAGTTATCATACATAGTAGCTGTTAAAAACATTATTTCCCCCCTTTAAGGAGGAAAGCAGAAGAAATCAAGCCAATCTCATAAATAGTCAAAGGGGCATAAAACAGAAGCTTCTTTCTTCACTAACAATCGCTGTTTCCGGAATATTTGCTGAATCTCATTTTATGACCTTAATTAGTTACTGGGTTGTACAGCCAAAAACACAACTTACCTCTGGGGCAAGGCCATCACCTGGCCTTAGCGGCAAAGTGGCCGATGTGAGAGGTTGCTTGAGCTACACACAGTCCTCACTACAGCCTAGCTGTTATGTATAAGCTACTCCCCGTCTACCCGTTCCTCCCCGAGCCCAGCTAACTCCTGAAACATCCTGGCAGCGAATGCACGTTTACAGGCTCGACGTTAACGTGAAGACAGGCTACCCAATCACATCATGTGTGCGCTACCTGGGTCATCACAAATGCTTTTGCTCGTGCGAGGTGCCGGCCAAACTCAGTATTAGTTGACTGATGGCCTCACGTTTGGACGGAGAAGCGCATTTAGGGAGCTCTCTCCAGAAATCCTCCCACGTGGCTTCTGCCACGTCCATTGCTATGGCAGGCACATGGGTGCTGGACCCGCCACCAGCAATGGGAATGGAGTTGGGACAGCTTGCACTTCAAACCCTGATTCTGTCCCTCTTTGTTGGGCCCAGAGGCAAGGGATTTCTCTCTGTGCACCATCAGGCAAGTATACAAGCTTCACAGTCTTCAGACTTAAAGGGTGATCAGGAGAGGGAAATAAGGTTAACGTATGCAAAGCACTAGCCCATAGCACATGTGCTCAAAACTTTGAGGCAACTCCCTTGCCTACCTTATTTGGTCACAACAGAGACTTGTCTAATAAACTGTTTCCCAGCAGGCAAAATTTTAAAGCATTCTACCTCAACATGCCAGTAGTTGTAGACAAGTAACACCTGATCAGAAAGAGAGAAAAAAGGCAACATTAGGCATGTAAACTGCTAACAATGCCCAGGTAAACCGGGATTTAGGAAGAAACTGTCACCTGACACAAGGAGTGCTCTTTCAGACCATTATAAAGGATCAGAACTGAACCGAGTAAGTGAACAGTTCTAAAGAAGGAAAAACACCAACCAAGTAGTATTTTCTTTTTGCCAAACTACTCTGCACTTCAAAATGACTGAATTGCAAATTGATGGCCTCTGAATGACAAAAAAAATACTTCCAAATGCTGCGAACAAAAACACAACCTTTGGGATTCTAGATTTCCTTCCGAAACCTAACTTATCACTTGGGCGGCAGAAGTGGGCAGAAGGCTGGACAAAGAAGCCCATTATGACGTGTCTGCTTTCCAGGTGGAAAGTGTAATAGAGTCGAAAGGACTCTTGTGATGTCAAGAACAAGGTTCAAAACCGAGGTTTTTGACTTAATAGCTGGGTAATTCTGGATTTGTTAACCTCTTCTGAGCCTGAGTTTTTTCACTTGTAAAGTGGGAATAATAATGCCTAATTTACATGCTGATGTGAGGAAGAGCTATATGCAGTCTGCAGGTAATTTTATGCTTGGCAAAGAGCACGTGTTCTATTAAGAAATAAGTCAACATATTTTTCTAAGAGTCCTTTGAAAACAGAAGAGTCCAGTAAACTCCTGAGAAGCAGAAAAGTCTTAGTTTAACAAATCAGCCTGATGAGATACAGGTCTCTGGCAGCAGCAGTCCACAGGAGGGCTGGAGGCCAGGACCTGCTACCCAGCCCCATTTACAAACGAGTTACTTGGGGATTGAGCTCTTCAACTGAGACTGCATCAGAAAAAAAAGAGAGTTATGATATAGGTTTTTCTTAACAGTTTAAGAGAAGACCTTTCCAAAAAAGAAAAGAAAAGAAAAGAAAAAGAATAGGACCAGTGAGAGAGTTCTTAAAGTATAAGACTTCTAGTTCTCTCTGTGGGAAAAAAAATGTTAAGGGGAAATTATGCTCTTATTAGCATTAAAAAAACAAAGTAGTGTTACAAGCAACATGACACAACTGTCTGTAACCAAACACACCTAGGGACTTGAGGTCTCAAGATGATAAAAATGGACACATACATTTTTGTATCTCCCTCCTTCTTTTGCCTTAAAGAACAGCCACATTTTGTGAATAAAATGGGTTAAGGATTTAATAAAAAGTACAATCAAACACAGACGAACTCTCTCTCACCACACCAGCGATTATTAACTTTGGCTGCGTTAGGGTGATTAACCTGTCATAATATGCCCAGGATGTTAAACTTATTTTTGAAGGAAGTCCCTGAATGGTCACCCTACTGCACGCCAGGATTACTGGGAGAGCTTTAAAAATAATGATGCCTCGGCCCTACTGTGTGAGTGGGAGGATCTGGGAGTTTTAAAAGCTTCCCAGGTAAATCAAGTATACAGCCAAGGTTAAGAACCACTACCTACACTACAGGTGCAGAGGACTGTGTGAGAATGGCAAGCACACTATGAATACCCTTGTGCAATTTTCATACATCTGTCTCAGCCAAGGGTGCTGGACAGGGGGCTGGACGGGAGTGGGTGGAGGGGGCAAGCAGACTCTGGGCCTGACCCTCGCTGAGCCGTTTGACCTTGGAAATGTGATCATTGATGCTCTCTGTAAAGTGTGTAATGACAGTAACTGCTTTGCAGACTCTTACACGTCAATGTTCCGGGCAGGGTGCAAGCACAGAGCATAAACCGGGACTGTTTCACCCCCACACCTGACACAGGCTGCCGCCTTTAAAGGGTGTAAGGGGGGCTGGGGAGCAGTCGTCAACGGGTGGTTTCAGGGAAGTGGGAAATGCTGATCTGATCGGACGCTCTCAGTGGCTGGCTGTGTTTGGCGATCCTGGTTGCTTCTTGACCCCAGTCAGGTGGGGGTGGGGGTGTGCGCGGTGCCTGCAGGGGCACGTTCATACGTTACCTCCACATTCCTGAAAGTACACCTCCCATCATTTGCTGCTTCTACAGTAACAGATCTGGAGAAGCCTGTGTCTTTTCCAAGGTCGTGGAGTTGGTCAGCTGCTGTCTGATCTGAATTCTTTGCTCCTCTGCTGGCAGGCTGTGTGGGACGTGAACTGAAGTCGCGGACAGCATCTGCTGCCACTCGGGTACTGTTCTTAATTCCTGCCTAGTGCCCTTGAGCTGCAGATGAGTCAAAAGCGTGGCAATTTCCAGACCTCTTCTTCAGGTTTTGTCTACTCTGGCGCCAAGCCCCATCCTTCAGGCCCTGGCATAGGCTTCTGCACTCAGGCCTGCGAAGCTGCAAGGCGCTGCACAGAACACCCTGTGGAAGCCACGCACTTGGATGGAAGTCCCAGGTCTTGTGCAGCTTTGGTTTCCCTGAGAATTTTCTCCTAGAAAATAAGAAGAATGAGCCCCGAAGATGCTTCTTGAGCAGCGATGTGTGGCCAAGTGACACAGGAACTTAAAATAATACGGAGGAAAAAAAAAAGGTTTCCTAGGACTCAAGTGACCTAATGAATCAGACTGTCCCTTTCCTTAGACGGTAGGAGGCATGTACTTTACAATTCCTGCCACGCGAATCTGCTGCCTCGCCACCCCACTCCATGATGGGAACATCTGGATTCCGGTCTGGGACCCTTCACTCCCAGGATGCGTTCTGGAAACTGCACTTGGCTGGGCTGGCATATGGGAACAAAGAAAATGAACCCTACCCCAGGCTGCCTGAGGACAATCAAGACTGAGAAAGCCGCACTGTGAGGACCTTGTTTATCAGTCAACAAAGGAGGCATGCAATACGTATTGAAGGAAGGAACAAATAAACGAGGGAATGAACGAAAGAAATTAAAGAAATGTCAGCCTTCACGGCAACAATCATAAAAATGTTCTTTCTCTTGCCCGAAAACTGGCCCAGATCCCCTTACTGAAAGGCAAATACACTATGGGAAATCGATGTGTTTTTTAAAATCGGTATTAATGAATTTTGAATAATCTACATTAGTTTGACATAAACACTAGGGAAGAGGCTCAATAAAATACTGCCTTCCTTTGTCTCCTTTTCTCAAAATGCATTTGTAATGAACGTTATCAGCATAACAAAACCGGATCCATACAAAAGTGTTCTTTTTCAAGGCTATGTTACATCCAGGATAAAAATATCATTAAAAAAATTTCATCCTGGGTGAAAGACAACATCAATATCAGATCATTAAAATAGTCAAACATTTTACTTGCGTTCGGAAGACACTATAGGATATTGGTTTCTAAGCTGCCCTTTGCTGGGCTTCCAGAACCCGGTGGCCAGATCTCATGGTGTGTACACACATCACACAGGCTGGGCTGAACTTGGCATGTGACTCAGAGAAAAGATCAAGAGATACATTCCTATTCTCTCTACCTTCCTCTAGGAAAGTGCTGCAAGGATTGTGGAGACCGTGCCTGGTCTTGGTGACTTCCATTCTAAACTTGAGATACAATCTTTAAAGGGTCTAACACATTACACTTCAGCTGTGTGGGCTTCCTGAAACAGGACAAAGTGCAAATTCACTTTTTCATTAATGTCAGGCTGATAGTCTGTTCATTATTCCACTTTTAAAAGCCAGAGCTCTTTTAACGGGGTGCATTTACATAGAGGGGCTGAAGTGTTCTCCTTCATTCTCTCCTTTGGCCTTCCCTTTCCGGAGAAGAAATATTCATCCTTTTGCAAGCGGCCTGAAGCTGCCCAACAAACCAAGGCAACAAGGAAAAAAAAAAAAAAAAAAGGGCAGCTGGGCTGGGGAGGTCCCACAAAGGCTGCCATCAGCATCTGAGCGAGTCAAACCTTCAACGTCTCCCCTCCTCTGTCCCCCTTCCCCGCACCCCCCCCAACTCCGGCAAACGATGCAAAGGTCCTCCACGGACAAGTCCACCCCTGAGCACACGCGCCGCGAAGCTCCCAAGGAAAGACAATGCCAGTCCGGTTTTCAAGTTTATTGTTGGCACACTCACACCGATGGTACACGGCATCCGAGGCGAGTCCACGGCTAACAGCGTGGTGCTGGGAGGGGGAGGGGCGCGGGAGCGGAGGCTCACGGCGTGGTCGCCCGGGGCCGGCCCGGGCGGGGCCGCGGGGTCTCCGCTAACCACTGGGGGTCACACCACGTCAACGCTTACCTCCGAGGCCCGCAGGAGGCTTTAAAAATGGCCTCCTGACGACACTTCCTGCTCCGAGCCGACCGGTAGAAATCCTCGCAGGAGATGCATCATTTAAAACGCTGGGGGCGGGCGGAGGAGGCCGGCGCGGCGGCTCCACACCCCGCGGCCCCGCGGCCCGCACGCCGCCACCCCGGGTCGCGACCCGCGCGCGGGGGCGAGCCTGCGGGGTCGCGGCGGCACAAAGGGCCCGCACGTCGCCGCCGCCCGGGTCCCGGGGTCGGGGCGGCCCCGAGCCACCCCCTCCCCGGCCCGCCCCGGGGACTCCGCGCCGCGCCGCCGACCAGCCGCTCGGCACGCGGGGGCCGCGGCCCGCACGACCCGGCCCGGGCTGCCCGCCCCGTCCCGCCCCGGCGCGGCCTCGTCAGGCCCCCGCCCCGCACCGCCCCCGCGGTCCCCTCCGCGCTCCGGCCCGCCTGCCCCGCGCGCGAACCCGGGGCCCTCGCCCTCCGGCTCGGCCACTCACCCGGCCGGCGGGTCCCGGCTCCCGGGAAGGGGGCGTCTACACCGCCGGCCGCAGGCCGCCGCCGCCTCCGCCGCTGCCGCCGCCGCGCCCGCTGTAGGTCCCTACTCGGGAGGGGGGGCGGGGGGGCGGAGCCGGGCCGGCGCCGCGCGTGCGCAGTGCGGCGCGGAGGCTCGGCTGCGGCGCGGCCGGTGTCCGAGGTCCCTAAGGCTGCGCCTGCGGCCGCGGGGAGCCGGAGACGGAGCTGTGCCCGGGTGCTGGCCTCGGAGCTCGACCCAGCGGGTGCACACCCACCGCAGCCAGTGGTCGTGCTCAGCCTGCACGCGGTGCCCGCGGCCTCAGGAGCCTCCCTGCAGGAGACCCGGTCATCACCCGCCCGGCGGACTTTTCTGGGCGCGCGCCGTGTGCATGCTCTGGGTCCAAGCCGAGGGCCCAGGAGCTCCCTGCCCTCAGTGGACCTTGAATTCCAACAGCGAGGGACTGAAGGCGAGAGAGAAAAGGAACCCAGCTCTTCAGCCTCCAGATTCCTCCTCTTGTGAAAGCAGCAGTGAATGACATGGCCTTGACTTGGGTTCGAATCCCGACTCCTTTATATCCTACCTTCCGGACCTTGGGCGAAGAAATCCCCTGATGCCCTGACCTCTCTGAGACTCCCAGTTTCCATTGCTGCAGGTGGAAGAGATCATACCTGAAGCCACGTATATGGTTGTGAGGGCCAGACAAGATCACGATTGTGGGAGAGTCTGGATATGGCGTGAGCTCATTTAATGCGTGTTTTCTTCCTGCTGCTTGGACTCCAATACTATTTTCTGGGAACCTCCTTCCACACCCAACTCACGCGCACTTTTAACCTTCCGGAAAGAAAGTGTACCTAAAATAGATCCTCTCTGAGGAAAGAAGGTGCCAGTCCCAATAAAAAGTGACCCAGATACTGCTCCCTGCAAAATAAAAGTGCTCCCTAGGAAGGGCAGACTGGCAGGGAGCAGCAATTTCACCGGGAAGCGCAATTTCTCCACGAATAGTCGTCAAAGGTTTATTTCAAAGCTCCGGAAGGAGCAAGGCAGGTTTCCAACACCTTCCTGTTGGAGGCTAGAAGGTCAGGGTGTGTGGCCCTGGGCCAGAAGCAGGGTGAAGACGCAGGGCCGGGGCAATTCTTCAACACGGAGAAGTGGAGTTCAGGAAGGCAGTGTCAGCCACAGCAGCGAGGCAAAAATGCCCACCGCTGAAATAGCAAGAGCTGAGCAGAGAGAAGGCCAACCCAGAGATGGATCAACAGCAAGTTCTTTCCCACCACCCCCTGCTCTTTGCTGCGATGTCCGACCTTCATTCCTGATAAGGCAGCTTCCTGTTCCTCTGTCTCCTATGGCTCAGAAAAACTAGCAGACGTTTTCTCAGAAAAACGCATTTACGCACAGAGTTCATATCCGTAGGGCTGAGAGTTACATCTCCCTCAAGAGTGGAATGGGCATGGGAAGGGCACGGAGAATCTCAGCTGGCCACTGCCTAGAAATCGCTAGTGGCAAAAAGTGCTACATTCAGGAAAAACCGTTAATTCTAGGTATTGGAGAATCAGAAGTCTAAGCATTAGAGAATTTTCCCTATAATTTGGCCGAATTGTCGACCTTCCTTGTAACTTCCACTCCTGCATTGCAATTCTGCCCTCTTGAGTCACACAGAATGGAGGAAAGAGTACCTCTGGCTTTCCTGGAAATTTTCTGGAGTTAGAGCTGGTTATAAATCCCAGCTCAGGCAAGAAGAAGCTGGGAGTCTGCTCCCTAACCTGTGTGAACCTCAGCTTCTCATGTAAAATTCAGGGAACAATAGATCCTCGCTCGCAGGGCAACTGTCAACACTAAACAAGAGAAGGTCAAGGCTTAGCATAGTCCCTGGCAGATTTACATGTCTCAGAAGCTTTCATTCAGTCAAATAAAATGCTTTGTGGAGGGTCTGGAAATGGGGTGTTTACAGCTTGGAAAAGGGCCAAGCAGGAATAGAGACCACTCCCAAAGAAACCCTTAACGACTTACTGTCCCCTCTTTAATGCGGGGAGAGTTCATCTGGAAATATTTCTGGACGTCCAACCAGGGCACATGGCCTACATTTACGGCTGCCCTGTGTTTTCTCTCCCATCCTGTTTAGTTTGCCTAGATCCTTTTTCAGTGTTTCATAGGTCACCTCTGTTACAGGTTGAATCACGCCTCCACAAAAAGATGTGCTAAAGCTCTGATCCCCAGTGAATGGAAATGCAAGTTCACACCTGTGGATGTGACCTCATTTGGAAACAGGGTCTTTGCAGACATAGTTAAAATGAAGTCATTGGGTGGGCCCTTATCTAATATGATTGTTGTCCTTAAAAAAGAAGAAATTCAGAGAGGCAAATGCCCTTTAAAGACACAGAGAAGCACAGGGAGAAAGGGCCATGTGAAGACAAAGCCACGTGGGAGTTCCGCTGCCACAACTTAAGGAACACCCGGGGCTGTCAGAAACCGGAAAAGGCAAGAAAGGATCTTTTCCTACAGCATTCCGAGGGAGCAGGGCCCTGATGGCCCCTTGATTGTACACTTCTAGCTCCCAGAACTGTGAGACAATGAATTTCTGTTGCTTACAGCAGCCCCAAGAAACTAACACAAGCTCCCAGATATGATTACCTAACATATAGAAGGAGGGAAAACATGTAAACAAAACCAGTCATTGTGTATAAGGGCTGGGGACAGATGCTCATTCATTCAACAAACATTTACTTAGTGCCAACTTAGTGCAGGCACAAGCTAGGTGCCGAGAAGAGAGTGAGGAACAAGATCACGCTCCTTCGGGGAGCATTTGTGTTGTTGGGGGTGGTAGACCTCAGATAAGTAATGGAATATATAATTAATATTAGGGAGTGCTAGAGGTCAGTGCTAGTGGGTAGTACCGTGAGGCAGGGAGGGCAAAAAACAAAAAAAAAAAAAAAAAAAAAAGTAATAAAAAGGCTCAGTAAAGGGGTCTTGGAAGATGAGCTATAAGCCAGAAGTAGGAACCAGAATGGGAAGATGGAAAAGAGCTTCACACATAGGGGAAGATGGCATGCGCAAAGACCCTGTGAAGGGCAGAGTTGCACATGTTTGAAGGAGAGAAAGAAGGACAGTGCCCATCTAGATCATCCTGGGCACTTAGAAACTGTGATCTTAGGAAGTCATTTACGAGGATTCTGCCATTGAGGACCCTGTGGCTCAGAGGAAGGTACTCGACCTGTGTGCCTCAGGAAAAGGCCAGGTCTCTAAGGTCTCTAACAACCAGTTTTGGAACTTGGAGCTAGTTGGGGGGTGGGGGGGAGGGCAAAGACACGTAAATCTCAGGCATTTCATGACTATGCATAAACAGGAGACCCAAGGAAGTGGCTTTTCTGTTGTTTACAACATTTCAGAAATATCTAGTAACTTTTGGGGCGTCTGGGTGGCTCAGTCGGTTGAGCGTCCGACTTTGGCTCAGGTGGTGATCTCACTGTTGTGGGTTCAAGCCCCGCGTCGGCCTCTGTGCTGACAGCTCAGAGCCTGGAGCCCGTTTTTAGACTCTGTGTCTCCCTCTCTCTCTCTGCCCCTCCCCCACTCGTGCTCTGTTTCTCTCCGTCTCAAAAGTAACTAAACTATAAAAAAAAATTTTTTTTTAAATATCTAGTAACTTCTTTGAGCCTTTGTAGGCTCACCTGGGAGAAAGACCTCTGCTCAGGATCTCCAAGATCGTATAGAACTACTAAAATACTCAGATTCGGTGCTCCTCCCATTCCTGCGGCGCAGCGCGGGGAGGCTGCAGAGTGCGAATCCCAATCCCATTATTTTTCTGCCAAGGGCTGTGCGACCTTGGGCAAGTTACTAGCGTCTCTGAGATGCTTTTTATCAACTCACAAGGGGGCTGAGGAGCGCCCGAGGCCAGGCTCAGGTCCCAGCCACCTTGCGCCAGCTGGCGGCGCCGCGTGCTTCCCGGGCGCCGGGGGCCGCTCAGCTGCCTCTGGAGTCCCGCGGGACCGCGCGGTCCGGGAGCCGGGAGCCGGGAGCCGGGGCCGCGCACCGGGCATGCGCTGCCGGTAGAGCCGCTCGGGGCGGCCTTTACGCCGCCCCGGCCCCGCCCGCGAGGGCCGGAGCTGTAGTACCGCCGGTGGCCAGTGGCGTCGCTGTGCGGCAGGCCCTGGAGGATCCGCGCGTGTAGAACTCTACCCCGCTCTGTGCTTACCCGGCGGTGGTTGGCCCTGTAACCTGGGCGCCCCAGCTCGGGGGGTGCGCCCCCCGCCCTCCCGCTCCTTTTAGGGAGCGGCATGGGCTGGACTCGCCGAGCTCGCGAGATAATGGAAGACTCCGAGCCCAGTCGCGTACGCTCTCGGCACCAGCGTCTGCAAAGTTGCCATGTAAGCAAAGGCAGATAGATGCCTGCTTGGGTGCCCAGAGGGTGGGTCAGAGGGGTTCCTGATGATTCACAGCGTCCCACTCTTCACATTTTCTTAGATTTACAAGTAAATGCGCGCCCACCGCCTCTGGGCATGTGTTCGTGTCGTGGCTATTTTGTTCACCACGAGTCTGGGACAGACCCGGCTTCCAGGGCTGGCCAGGGTCCCTTCCCTAGACCTGGGGTCGCCCAAGCCTGATTAGGACAGCACAGTCCCCGAAGAAGTTCCCTGGGGATGTCCCGAAGGGAGTACAAAAAGGGAAAGAGTCTTAACACCGTTCATAGCAATTGGACACACCTTCGGCATCCCAGATGGGGATCTGCGGAACAAGGTAGGGGAATTTGGGTGGGGTGTACTCATGGCTCAGGCTGCCTTCTGGCCACTTGGAGTGGACGCCTGGGTGTTCAGAAAGGAAGGGGTGGAGGCGGTGTGGGGGAAGACCTGGTCCTTCATCGCAGAGAATTCTAGGCTGCTGTGATAGCCTTCTGTATCAGCTCCCTGCATCCACTCTCCTCCAGGCTGAGGCAATTTTGATTGGGATTGCATTGAATGTGTAGATTGCTTTGGGTAGTAATGACGTTTTAACTATATTTATTCTTCCAATCCATGAACATGGAATGTTTTTCCATTTCTTTGTGTCTTCTTCAATTTCTTTCATAAGTTTTCTA